AGTAGGTTTTTCACCTACAAGGAATTTGCTTTGGTGTTTGGTGCACAACACTTCTATGAGAAACAAGAAAGGACATACAATGGAGAAATAAAAATATAAAAATATAGAATAAAATTAATAATAATAATAATAATAATAATAATAATAATAATAATAGTAATAATAATAATAATAATAATAATAATAATAATAATAATAATAAATAATAAAATAAAATAAAATATTGAATGTCAAACGACAGACCAGAAAATGTTGAACGTAGCATAAAGTTGTTGCAAAAAACAGGGTAAAAAGACAAAACAAAACAAAATAATGCGCACCAAAACACCGTGGCGGCCTTTTTCGGCGCCATGGCAACTGGATATGTTTATGTTTATGTTTATGTTTATGTTTGTGCATTTGTCAGACGCTTTTATCCAAAGCGACTTACAGAGTAGACACAATATTACATTTATCATCACCATGACAATGAGCTATACAGAGGATAAATAAGCTATACAGTTTAGTTTCAGATGTCAAATGTGTGTTAATGCATACAAAAAGCAGCTTTTGCAATAAACTTAATGCAAAATATCTGAGTGACTGTAAATACGATGTACATTTTGAATTATTCTCACTTAAAAGCTGTACACCGTGCTTTATACTGAGCTCTCAAATCTAATTAGAGAAGTTTTAGACATTTGACCTCTGAGACCCTGAAAAAAAACTTAAAAGTAGAAGCAGTTGAAAAAGGAAAATGTTACAAAGGACCAAAACTAATACATTTAACTGTCAATAGGAATGACTTTGTCAAAATTACTCTGTTTTCTAAAAACTTTTCTCATCAATCAACCCAGTTTTTGCAAAGAAAAGCTCAAAGCTGTTATGATTAATAGGAAATTTGCTCTTAAAGTGTGCACAGTATCACTCCCAATCCTTACTGTTATTACCACAAAGAATTATTCACCAGGTTAGCTTTAATCTGAAAAACAAAGATAAAGATTCCTTCTCCTTTTCAAGCTTTCATGCGTTGATCTGGCTGGAAAAGTGGATACAGCTTTGTGTTCGTTAGCTTAAAGCATCCCTTCTTCTTCTTCTTCTTCTTCTTCTTCATCTTTGCAGTGATTGTTTGAATCTTTTTACAAAACTCAATTCAGTTAAGCTAAGAATTTACTTCAAAGTCAGTGTTTATCGCATTCCTCACAATAGCTGTCAGGGGCTTTCTCTTTCTCACCCCATCCCGCCCTCTCTGGCCCGTTTCCTTACACTTCTCCTGACCTTTTGAGCAACAGCCCCGAAACTCGGCCTCGCACCATTCCCATGGGTGGTGTTTTCAGTCCGGGACTCATCCCTCATCCCCCCTTCTAAAGCTTTTGTCGACGCACTGAAAGCTGGCTGATGCCGAGGCCATCAAGCCCAAATTGTTGGATCAATATAAACATC